CAACTTGTGCCCTTGACCCAACAGGCCCTCCTAGGAACTAGCCATCAGTAGGTAAGGCCTGGGAAAATTCAAAGCAAGATTCAGCCTGGTTTTTCCCAGAAAGGAGGCAGGAGAGCTGTAGACTGTGCTTGAAAGCTGATGCTTAAATGGAGCAGGATCCAGGAGAGAAAAAAATAGCAAATGAAACTGACCGGACCTCTGTCGGTTTCACACCAAAGTTTTTTTCTTGTCCCAAATGGGCACATTGGCTGGAAAAGAGATTATTATTGCCGTATCTGCAGGTGCTGGGTTGCTCTCTGGAGCAACTGCTAAATCAGGACCACCTTAGTTTGAGGTTGGTTCTCCCCTTGATCTACTTCCAGCTTTTGCGAAAGCGTTCTTGTCTTTAAGTGCTTTGAAAAATAAGTTGACCTCTCTCTGCGGTGCGGGAGCCCTTCAGATATTGGAATATTCCTACTTTACATCCTCCTTTTTCAGGCAAAAGCCCAAAGTTTGAACTAAGCAGGAAAAAAATGGGCTAAAAGGAACATAAAATAAAGGGCAACACACACACACCCTTTTTTTTCCTACCAAGATACAATTAGAAAGGCAAAATAAGATTTACGTTACCTGTCTCTATGTGAGTTGCAAACGATTGGCAAATATGGAGTATGGTGGGTTCCCAAAACCTGTCCGTCCTTTGGTCAGCTTTCATCCCATCCAGCCCAGGGCAGAGGCACTTTTTGGCCCAAACAGCTAGGGAGATTCTCCCTCAATCCAGGTCCTGGTTGTCCCAAAGGTGCTTTTTCACGAGGCCACTGGACTTTCTTGTTTTTCCTTGAAGACATTTCGCTTCTCATCCAAGAAGCTTCTTCAGCTCTGACTGGGTGGAGGATCCTTCCGTTCTCCACCATCCAGTCAGAACCTGAAGAAGCTTCTGGGATGGGAAGCGAAACGTCTTCAAAGAAAAACAAGGAAGTCCTGAAAAAGCCCCTTTGGGACGACACCTGTCTTGGTTTCTTCTCTCTCTGATGGAGGGTTGTCCGTTTCCCTCTGCAGTTCCTCTCTTTGGATGACATCCAGCAGGCCAGCAGAACCAACGTGGACCTGAGGGACGACCAGCAGCAGCACGTTAGTGGATCCACGGCTCTCTCTTGTTAGCTTCTGGCCAGGGTGGGCTGCCTAAGTAAGCCTGGGACAGCTTGGTCTGCTCCCAGGACCACACAAACACACACACACACCCCTTTGCAGGTTTCCAGATAGTCCTTGACTTGCAACAGTTTAGTGACGGAATGGAATGGAATAGAATAGAATAGAATATACAGAATAGAAAAAAGAAAATGAATAGAATAGAATAGAAAATATAGAATAGAATACAGAATAGAATAGAATACAGAATAGAATAGAATACAGAATAGAATAGAATATAGAATAGAATACAGAATAGAACAGAATACAGAATAGAACAGAATACAGAATAGAATAGAATGCAGAATAGAATGAATGGAATAGAATTAGATTAGAATAGAATAGAATAGAAAATACAGAATAGAAAAAAGAAAATGAATAGAATAGAATAGAAAATATAGAAAAGAAAAAATGAATAGAATAGAATAAAGAATAGAATAGAAAATACAGAATAGAAAAAAGAAAATGAATAGAATAGAATAGAAAATATAGAATAAAATACAGAATAGAATAAAAAATATAGAAAAGAAAAAATGAATAGAATAAAGAATAGAATAGAAAATACAGAATAGAAAAAAGAAAATGAATAGAATAGAATAGAAAATATAGAATACAGAATAGAATAGAAAATATAGAAAAGAAAAAAATGAATAGAATAAAATAAAGAATAGAATAGAGTACAGAATAGAATACAGAATAGAATAGAATAGAATGGAATAGAAAATAGGGAATAGGGAATAGAATAGAAAATGGAATAGAATAGAATAGAATATTGAGAATAGAATAGAAATAGAATAGAATAGAAATAGAATAGAATAGAATATATAGAATAGAATAGAATATTGAGAATAGAATAGAATAGAATAGAATGGAATAGAAAATAGGGAATAGGGAATAGAATAGAAAATGGAATAGAATAGAATAGAATATTGAGAATAGAATAGAAATAGAATAGAATAGAAATAGAATAGAATAGAATAGAATAGAATATATAGAATAGAATAGAATATTGAGAATAGAATAGAATATTGAGAATAGAATAGAATAGAATAGAAGGAACAGGACATTATAGAATAGAATCAGAGTTGGAAGGGACCTTGGAGGTCTTCTAGTCCAGCCCTGTCAGTCACCCCTCCTGCCCCCCCCCCAGCCAGGGCTTAGGAGAGAAGGCAAGTCTTCCCAAGTCCGATCCTTGATTCCCCCCCAGGACCCTTCCCACACACACCCCCTTCCCTTCCCCACCTGTAGTTTCTCTGCTGCCCCCGCAGACAGTCCCCGTTGTGCCCTTGACCCCGATGGCTCTGGTTCCCCCCGAAGACTCGGACAAGAAGGACAACCCCCTCTTCAGGTGAGAGACCCCTGGAGCCCCCCTCCTCCTCCAGCCCGGGGGTGGGACCAGCGGCCTCCTCCGGCTGATCTCGTCTTGTTTCCCTGCAGCCGGAAGGGGGAACTGCTTGCCAGCCGGAAGGACTTCCGCATGAACACCTGCACCCCGCAGAACAACGGGCTCTTCAGGCTGGACCTGGCGGGGCGCTCCCCCACCCGGGGCCCAGCAGGCAGGAACGGCGATTGGGGCCGGGCTGACCCAAATGGTACAGCCGGGGTCTCCCCCTGTTCTTCCCAAAGGGGGCCCCCTCCTCTGAAAGTTTAATTCATCCTTTCAACTGGATCCTTTTCCACTTCTTTCGGTTTTTTTTTATTATTTTAATTTTTTGTTGTTTGAGCTCGGTTCAGTTCTAATTGTGTTTTATTTCGCTTTAATTTTATATTTTAATTATTCACTTTATTTTATTTCACTTTTATTTTATCTTTTAATTATTCACATTCTTTTACTTTGCTTTAATTTTATTTTTTATCTTTTAATGATTCCCGGTTAAATTGTGTGTGTTTTTAATTTAATTTTGCCTTATTTGGATTCATTTTAAATTTTACCTTCGTTTCATTTTTTTTTTTTAATTAAAATTTTTTATTAATTTTTTCAAATAAAATATGAACAAATAATACAAATATGGTGCATTTCATTAGAAAAACAAGCACATTTACATTTCATTTATAAATACACCAAATTTTTATAATTCTACCCCTTCATCCCCTCCCCCCCTCCCCCCCCCGGACTTCCCAGAACTGAGTACAGGGATAAATACATAACATCCCAAGTCTAAAGTAAGCTATCCATTCATAATACAAACAAAATTTAACATACTTTAACTCTAACATACAATAATAAACTTAAAAATAATATATATATATAAATTATATTAAATATATAAAAAATATTGGGGAAAAATGATATTTATTCAAAAGCTATATGATAATTAATCACTTCATACTTTCTCTTCATATAATCTACCCATCTTCTCCACACCGAAATAAATTTTTCTAGAGATTGATCCTTCAAGTATGCAGAAATTTTTGCCATTTCTGCAAAATATGACACCTTCAATCTCCAATCATCCATAGTCGGTAATACCTCTTTCTTCCAGTTTTGAGCAATCAATAATCTTGCTGCTGTTATACAATACAACATCAAATTCATTTCTTTAGAATCCAAATTTTCCATAATACCCAATAAGAATAATTGCGGTGTAAATTTTATCTTTTTCT